TGTATGGTGTGTTGAGAGAATTTGCAGAAAACTACCCCATCTCTGTTTCTCTTAACCATAACCACACATTTACATAGTCTCCCCATTTAGTTCTCGTGTTACCCCATTTGTATGGACCACCTTGTTGGAACCTTAATTGTTACTACATCCTTCTCACAAGTTTCTATAGATTTTCATTTCAGATATATTAATTAACCCCCACTCTTTTTTAGTACCACCTTTTTTACCGCCTTTTTTGTGTGGGTCACCCCCCTCCAAAGACTTTTACTCCATTTCTGGTATCAACCTTTTCATACCACTTGTGAGCCGTAATAACAGCTTAGTATGTACATTTCTATATTTTCATACCTAACTAACATCTTTGCGTGAATGTGTGTGTGTGTATTCATATATAAGCCTATTCGGGTTAATGTCTATTCAACACAAAGCCAGATATTATGCAGTTTTCTGCCTATTATGTTTCTTTAAAAAAAATCTTGCAAAAATCTCACCACGTCAGATGGCATAGGTCTATCTTAATTTTAAACATTTTTAAGTAATATGGTTTATAACATGGTTTCCATCCATCACCATATAACAGACCGCTTTTACCCAATTTGCCTCCTGGTAACCACTACTTAGTTCTTATAGTCTAAGAGTTTTTTTCTTGTTTTACTTGTTCATTAATTTTATCTACCACACATGAATGAAATCAGTCTCTCCCCATCTGACTTAGCTTCAGGAACACTCCTACCTAGCAGTATTAGACTTAGTTTCTTCAACACTTTTAAGGAAGTGAGGGAAGCAGGAATTGCGCTTTCACCAGTGATGAACAGAAAAAGGACACCAAAAGAAGGAAATTTGTGTGCAAGTGCAACATCTTAGGCATCTGAGAGACTCATAGGGAACAGTGTAGTTAGGTGCTTTGCAAGAGACTTACTTCAATCAGCATAATGCACTCTAGTTCCATACACGTTGTAGAAAAAGGATTTCCTCTTTTTTATAGCTGTACCCCAAGTGGACATTACCTCGTCCAAGTAAGAACATATCCGATGTCTAGTCAGTGTGTTGATACAAAGACTGGCCTCTTTTCCTCAATTCCTTATATTTATGAATAGCCATCTGGCTTTTAGAGAAACCAATTGCAATGGCAGTTCTTCAAATTCTTCCTCTGCTCATTTGCTACTTCCCTAGCTCCCTTAGAAACCTATTTCTGAATAAATAGAAATATAAAGCTCTATTTCTAAATAAATATAAAGTATAATATTTAGTGATAGGAAGACCAGGTCCTAAGAAACAATTTTAATTTTTTAACCTCCTTGCTTATTTTTAAAAACGTATTTATTTCATGCATACAAAAACTGATAAGTAGGCTAGAGGTAGGGGTGGTGAGAGAATTCACGAGACAGAGTGGGGAGAAGAGGCAGATCCACTGAAATACACTGCTGACGGGAGCAGCAGGTGAAACAGGTGAGGTCTGCTTCACCATGTGGGTCAGCTCCCTGGCCAAGGATCGAACTTGTGCTGTAATGGCTGCAACAGCTTGATAGCACTGTCTTTAATTCCTGTGCCATCAGGGAGACCCCTTAAGAAAGATTCTAAAATAGGATTTGGGAACTTGAATAAATGCCAGCTGACTAGAATTGAAGATTATATGACTGATGTACTTCATGTACTGATAATCCCTATGAGGTGGTTGTGTCACAATTGTCAAAACTTTCACCAGTGATGAACAGAGATAGGATACCAAGAGAAGGAAATTTGTAGGCAGGCACAACATCTTAGGCATTTGAGAGGTTCCTAGGAAATAGTAATTATAAAGATAGTGCCAGTAGGTGGTTAACAAGAGGCTACTAATGAACTGCAGAAATACAATAAAAGCCTACTGCTGATAAATATCAATTTAACATAATTAATTCAAAGGTTCTCATCTGAAGGAAGCAGAGAAGTATATAGCCCATGTAAGCATTATTACTCTTTGTGGAAAGACACAACGCATTTTTGTTTTTGACCACACATCAAGCCAACCAGTACATAAATTAAATTCACTTTTTCCTGCCCTCACATATTCTGGAAAATAATCCAAATTAGAAATGAGGCAGAAACTTGAGAGAATCAGCATAATCACAGTTGTAATTGACAGGCATTGTAATTTTTTTCATGTTTATTTTTAAAAATTCTTGTTGTTTCACGGAAAGGATGACCTCCTCTGGAATATTTTCTGTTTTATGATGCCAGGGATTGGACATCGGCGACAGAATGGCCAGGGACATATCAGTTGAAGAAGACAAGGACCTATGTACTGAACCAGGGAGGGAGAGGCACCATAGTCACTGAGACTCAGTTTCTTTTTAAATAGCATCTGACATTTATTGAAAATAAGGAAAAGGCTTTTGTCCAGGTAGTGTAGAAGAGCTGGGCAGAGTGCAAGGGGTTACTGTGTTGAACAAAAGGCACACATCAGAGAGACAGCGGCAACTTCAGGAGAGAACTGGATTGTGGGCAAAATAAGAGGTCCACAGGTGAAAGGGAGTGACCGGATTTGGCTGCCAGGCACCCCTGGGACCTGGCAGCCATGTGGCAGGAGCA